GTAAATGAAAACATCGCTACTGCATTGGAGGTGAAGGGTCATCTGGAGGCGCTCGGTCTGACCTGCAAATCCCCGGAGAAGGTGTCAGAAGGTGCTCGTGTCCTGGGCATTCGAGTCTGGGGGGAGCGGCAAGGACTGTTCTGGAAGCGGGACAACCAGGATCTACAGCCGCCGCCAAAGCTGACGAGGAGAGAGGTCTTCTCGCTGTGCGGACGTCTGACAAGTCAGATCCCGGTGTGTGGCTGGCTGCGTGTCTCCGCATCCTACCTGAAAAGACGCGCCACTGCAGCGACAGACGGCTGGGATGACGAGATCACCGACCCAGAACTCCAGAAAATGGTCATGGAAACGCTGCTGCGCGTGAAAACGGCCGATCCCGCACGAGGTCGCTGGGATGTCACCGGCGATGAGGGAGTCGTGTGGGTGGATGCCAGCTCCCTCGCCACAGGAGCCGTCCTGGAGATGGAAGGCAGCATCGTTGAGGACGCCTGCTGGCTTCGGAAAAATCCCGAGACACACGTGAACCTTGCAGAACTGGACTCTGTTGTGCGTGGCATCAATCTGTCCCTGGCATGGAACCTGAAGAAAGTGACTGTCGTGACGGACTCGAAAACGGTCTATCACTGGCTAACAGATGCGCTCTCCGGCAGAGCTCGGATAAAGACGAAGGCGGCGAGTGAAATGCTGATTAGAAGGCGCCTGGAGACCGTGAAGAGTCTGAGAGATGAGTACGGCCTCCAGCTGACCGTGAAGTGCGTTTCGTCAGTGGACAACAGGGCTGACGCACTGACGAGAGTGCCGAAGAAGTGGCTGAACCAACAAAGCGATCCTGAGGTCTGCGGCGCTGCCTTCTCGACGCCGGATGTGGTCAGGATCCATGAAACAAGCGGACACCCAGGCATCGGGAGAACGCTGCGCCTGTGTAGGGAGCACGACCCGGCTGTGAGCAGGCACCAGGTGCGCAGTGTCGTTAGCCAGTGCGAAAGGTGCCAGTCCATCGATCCAGCGCCCCAGCGGTGGACACATGGTTCGCTGAGCGTGACTAAATGCTGGGACAGGGTCAGCATGGACGTCTGTCACGTAAACGATCAGCTGTACCTGACTCTGATTGACTGCGGTCCGTCTCGGTACGCGATCTGGCGGCGGATAAAGCGACAGGACACCGACAGCATCATCACGGCTCTGGAGTCGGTATTCCTGGAGCGCGGCGCTCCGAGGGAGCTGCTGACGGACAACTTCACCTCATTCCGCAGTGCCGCATTCCACGAGTTCGTCAGCCGGTGGGGTGTCAGCGTCCGGTACCGAGCTGCCCATGCGCCGTTCGGCAATGGTGTCTCTGAGAGAAACCATAGGTCGGTCAAAACAATCGTAGCGCGCAAAGGCTGCTCAGTGGCGGAAGCAGTCTACCGCTATAATGTGATGCCCTGCAGTGATGACCTGAACTCTAGTCCTGCCAACGTACTGTTCAACTACAAACTGAGAGTGCCGGACGTGGAGAGTGAGGAAAAGTGCGAAGAGAGTGAGTGTGCTATGTTCAGTGTAGGCGATAAGGTATGGATCAGAGACCCTAGTCGCCGGTGTGATGTGCCAAGTTCCATAGGAACAGTCACCCGACAAGTGTCGGCGCAGTGTGTGGAAGTAGACAATGTCCCCCGTCACGTGAGAGATCTGAGACTGGCTTTCGTTCCCAGTCCGGAGAGTGGCCAGACTGAGCCGCCGAACAATGACAATGACGACTCTGGCCCAATTATCTTGCGAGAGTGTGCGCACGAAAGCCACGGGGAAAATGTGCCCCCTGTGACGTACGCTGAAGTTCTACGCCGCGGCATGCGGGAGAGACGCCCTGCCGTTCTGACCCAGTACGATGATTTGTAGATCAGGGGGGAGTGTATTAGAATCTTGTGGCCGCCGTGCCACTGCGGCGCCGCCGCCGCCCCGTCCAGGCTCGGGATGAGTTATATGGCATTGTGCGGGGCAGGGCCGGGAGGAGACGGCCGGCGGCACGCGCAGCGCAATTGTAAATTTAAGATATGTCATTTAAGGCACGTAGGCCGCCAAGCTGGCGCCTTCCGTCACCTCGTCGCTGCTGTGCAAGTTCGCACTCGTTTTGGGCGTGTTCTAGACGTTTCGTAGCCTGTTGAATAAAAGGTGGGTCACGTACGACCCCCGGCCAGTCTGGGTCGGCGCGCGACGGAGACAGCTGGCAATACAACGGCAATGTGGACATAAGGAGTTTACTACATTTTCTTTGAGGAAAACTGTTAATGTCCTGATCAGTTTCGGGTGGTGCAGACTGCAGACGGTGGGTATCTGCCCATGATGCACCAAGTATCCGCCAGTGGGACTGCCAAAAGCAAGTGTGAACTGCTTTATGTTCTCCCTTTCGATAGTTTCTTGAACCCGTTCACATGTAATTTGGATTATTTTAATGAACGCGATGCTACACGTTGAACGTTCACGTACATGTACACATCATTTAACCCTCGCCGGACCTATTGGTTTTCTACATACGCGCCGGCCGAGGGGGGGGGGGCGGGTACGACCCCCCCTCGCCGTTTCGCCCCTGGTGGAGCTAGCGCGTCGCGGAAAAAACGAGCGTGTGCGCCGTTACGAGACGAAGAGATTGGTACCCGATTTTAAGGTCCTAGGTCAACCGGTGACCTCTGAGGTCAGGTCAAGTGCCCCAGGGTACGGTGCAGTTTTTGGTGAATAACTTCGCAAAAAACGGCCGCAGAGCGCCGATTTTGGCAGCATCGTGTTCGCCTCGCTCAGGCGCGTCGAATGATATACTTTTTGTCCGGGTCAGGTCAACTTGGGGTGTTGACCTCAGGTCAAGGTCAGGTCAGCACCCCCAGGTCACGAAGTTGGTCGAAAGAGGTCATGTCGCATATCATTCGATTCGGCAGGCCTTTCTGAGTCCATTGGTGCCTTTCCCGACTCGCTAGCTCAATTTGATCAAGAGTTATTGACGAAAAACTAATTTGACGTTGATGACGTCATAAATGACGTCACGCAAGGTCAACATTGCAAAAGTGACGCATCTAACCTTGCAAGGAGTGCATCAAATCACGATTCTGTGTGCTTGAGATAGTTGGAGATCGTTCCCGCCGCCAGAATAGCAGCTTGAATTTTTCCCCATTGACTTATAATGGTGAGGTCACGAAAATGACCTGACCTCATATGACCTTTAGGAAAAATCCGAGATAAACAAGTTGTGGGACTCATAATGGATACTAGATCCTGCAAGTTTCATTTCCCTGTGACATCTCCTCTGGCAGTGAGGGCGTTGCGAAGTTGCGACATCTGAAGACCGTGCAGAGGTTCACTTATGACGTCATAGGTCAGTGACCTGACCTGACCCAAAAATGCGGTTGGTGTCAAAAGATCCGGCTTGGATTAAAGGTCAGGTATGCCAAGTTTCAGCTCTCTATCGCCAGCATGGTCGGAGCTATCGCGAAAAAAACCCTATGGGGGGGGGGGGCGGCACCCGCCCCCCCCCCCTCGGCCGGCGAGGGTTAAGTTTCACACGTCATGGTTTCGTATATAAGTGCAAAGCAATTTACTTTGTTTTATCTGTTTTCACGCGTTACCCAAAAAATCGTAGCTTATATCCTGGCAAATTTAACAGAAGCATCCATGACTGGGATGGCTTGTCCAACCGGGAAGATGAGCTGGTTTCCTGAAGTGCGCTTGAATGCCGGCCAAATAGACTGGGCGCTCCAGAGCGGTTCCCGTAGCTCGTCTTTCTGCTGATGGTTGGCACAGTGAGGTACCGCGAGACCGGGAGTTCCCGCTGGAAATCGAGACAAAGAACGGCCACTTCTCTTCGCAAAAGCACCATTAACTTGTTTTGGGTCGGCAGTTATGAAGAAAATGGAGGCGGTTCTGGTTCTTACTTAGAGGATCTGGGATCTCCCCGTAGGTGGTAAACTAGATGGCGAAACTGCTCGTGACCGTTCCGTTACTATAGTTTTATGTCAATTGTCACTTCTGACTCGTATATTGGAGACCAAAGACATCCACCAGGTTTTGAGGACTCTGAGTTTACAAATGGTCTGAGGGAGACAGAACCGTTTAAACGGGAAGTGCTCTTTGGTTGGGGGGGGGGGCTACCCTTACCGAACTAACTCATAAGAATAAGTTCGAACAGACTGTCCTTGCCAAAATGCTCTGATTTTTTTTGTCACGCCAGAGCTTTTTGTCAATTTATGGATTGTAAATTAATAAATTTGTTCAGCGATAAGCGCACCTTTGGGTGGATAGATAACATCTATACCGACATGTACCGCTTTCTTCATCCACCAATTTGTACTCACACACCTATCCAGTCAAGTGTCTGAGCTGTTGGTTGATGAACAGCTTGGCGATCATCTGCTAAGCGTTGTTGGGCAGCAGTCAGCACCAACACTCTCCGCCTCCCCAGCCGCCCCGTCACGCCCTCTACCAACGCTGCAAGGCGTGACCGTCTTTACATTGGCCCTTGGCCAGGCCAGGGGCTCCCATATTTCCCGCAGAGCGACGGGCGTCAGTGAGGTACTCGACTTTCAGGAACAAATCCCGAACCCAGCCGGCTGAATTTCATGAAATGAATATGGATAAGCTCTAGGCAGTTGACCCAGGGATGTTCGGTTATATGTGAGACACCGATACCCCAGCCACGATGTGATAGATGGCAGGGCGGTCGTTAGCTGGCATCGATCCACCCTCTCCCGCTCTCTCCCTGATTCTACCCTCCTTCTCTCCCTCAGTGTGCGACATATGGATGTTTATAACTACCATACATACGGCATGGCGTGGCCTCAACATTTGTCAGTTATTCTCAAGCCTTATTTTATATCTGACGTCATACACCACCCTGAGTCAACCGTCGCAGTGCGGTAGGACAGCGCACAGCTGCCAGGTATGACGTCAAACGTGGGATGACGTCACCGAATGTACATACGATCAAACCGGCTGTGCACCCGTGCTGCGGCGTGCGGGCTCAGTTCAAGCAGCAGTGCCACCGGTCGGACTTGTTTGGATTTGGGGCCTCTCTCGTGGGCCGGCCTGACTCGTCTCCAGTCGACGCGCTCCGTGCCGCCGCCGCCGCCGCCGCCGTCGCGGCCGAGTTATACACTCCCCACCTGTGGAGCGCACCGCTCGTCGTTTTCGACGCACTACCGGGGCGCGTCTTACTCGCCGCTGGGGCTACGCCGCGGGCTGGCGCCGGTCTACTTTTAGTTCTCCCACGAACTCCGAGGGCGAGCCCACGCCGCGGCGCGGGCGAAAGTGAGCGTACTCCGCGCTGGTGTCGACCGTGACCGAGTGACGGCTACGGCGGACAGAGCAGCGTGTGGGGCGGACAGAGAGGGCTGCGGAAGCCCCGGGAAGTCCGTGACGCAGCCAGAGGCACCTGACCGCCCCGATACGTGCAGAGTGGATAGTCAGTTGAGCCGCGTCCGCTGACATTGCAGCAGCGCAGCAGTGCAGCCAGCGACCTTCGGTGAAATGACTGTGAATTTAGCGTTCCCTGCAGTGTCACGCAGTGTCGCTGCGTAGTCGGTTGTGAACGGACTAACGCACCGCAGCACAAGTTGCAAGCATGCCGAAGAAGCGTTACAACCCGTACGCGGTGGCGTCGACGGAGACCCAGCTGGAGCGTCTGGTGAACGACCAGGCCCCGCACAGTGACGGCACCGGTAACCCGTACCTGATCACCGGGCACGCCCTCTCCACGCTGGGTCAGGCCTACGACCCGTATCGGGTCAAACCGCTGAAACCGTTCGATGTTGAGGAGGAGAGCGGTAGCACTGTGAAGGAGGAGCTGTGCTCCTGCCGCTGGATCGACCGTGGAGATATCGTGGATGAGGCGGACTACCTTTTCCAGCTGGGCAAGAGGAATGTTCAGCCGGTGAGTTGGGCACACGGGGAGGTCTGGCTGCCTGCCAGAGGGAGATGGGGAGGGGGGCGTTAGGCTGGAGTTGACGGGTGAGCTGGTGTCAGACCAGGATGTGGTCTGGGGAGTCGGGGTCGAGAGAGAGAGAGAGAGAGAGAGAGAGAGAGAGAGAGAGAGAGAGAGAGAGAGAGAGAGAGAGAGAGAGAGAGAGAGAGAGAGAGAGAGAGAGAGAGAGAGAGAGAGAGTTGATGTGGTGCAGCGCAGTGAACTGCCATGTTCCTTACTCTGTGTGCATTCCTGCAAAGGATAATGAAATACTTTACCGAATGATGAATAGCGAATGACCCCGAACGGAGTTGTTACACTCATCGCGTGAGTCGGTCCTAGACTACAAATTAGACTGATTTCCTCGCACTGACTATGCATGCGGCATTACTACATTCGTATCGCCACTGACTGGCATGGTATGATCGATTTCCTTTGACCTCAATCCAGCAATCACTTCAACGAAGGCCAAATGTATCACACTTCCTGTCATGTCGCACATTTCCCACTCCACTACCACGATACTAGTTACATGACTCTGCTCAAGCAGAGATATGGGTCCGGCGACACGAAACCTCATAAACAAATTGTTTCAAATTTCCGAAGCCGTGAGGGAAGCTTCATCGAGAAAAAGGCTTTTTTAAAACTCATGCGTTTTTAGAACACTTTCCTTCAGCCGCACCAAAACAAAGCAGTCGTGAGTCGACAGTCCATATCTGGGAGAGAAAAGCTCACATGACCTTAACCTCCTTCAGTGACCTGACCGGTCGTTTTTCGGTGTGCAGCTTCTCTGTGTCGCACGTGGGACAAACGTGACTATTATCTATTGTGCAACACGTGGTTAGAGGCTCGCTCAGCGGCACCGGCTTCCTTGTGTCTAGGTATACAAAGAGCTGTGTAACTTTGGTATGCGTGTCGGGCTGCATAGTGCATTACATAGGCGGCTCTTACACACTTGTTTTGATAGCATTGCAAATCTCAGGTAGGAGGTAGGAGCTATTCACTAAGAACGTCTAATTGAAGGAATTTCGGTAGCTTAGCACTACTCTGAAGCATATTAGGTAAGTTTGAATCACGAGCAATCCGTAAACCAGTTTGCCTGCCAAAAATATACGTTGAATCATGCAGGCTACCTCGTTTACTCCTGCCCACCCCACCGTAGACTGCCATGCTACCCGGACACAAATCCGGTAGGGTGCTGACGTCATGAGATCGCATTCGATGATGGCGTGACACCAGAGACCCAATGGGAGTTGGTGGCCAGATACCTGCTGCTTCATGACGGTGTGACTCATACTGCGTAGGCTGGAATGAGGAACATGTCGTATAAAAGCGAGATCTTGACAAGAATGAGCAATTGAGCATTGAAAACGAGCTATAAATAGCAGAGTGCGAGTTAATATTTGTATGTTGGTGACCTTAAGCCCTAGTGTAAAGACAAAGAAACCAGACTGACCTCCAGATGATGTTGAAGACGATGCTGTAGTCGACGATGATGAGGAGAAGACGACGAAGAGAAGTGTGCACAAATTTTCGGCCCTAGGCCATCCTCAGGTGATGAGAGGGGATGAGAGGGAGCCATCCTCATCACCTGAGGATGGCCTAGGGCCGAAAATTTGTGCACACTTCTCTTCAAGCATCGTCTTCAACATCATCTGGAGGTCAGTCTGGTTTCTTTGTCTTTACACTAGGGCTTAAGGTCACCAACATACAAATATTCAAGTAGAAACAATGCCCTACATCCAAGAGGCGTTCCGACAATTAAACGAGTGCGAGTTAACTGAGGAACTAATACACCCAGTGTAGGACGGGCTGCCGGGAGGGAAAACAAGCGATGAAAAAATATTGCGATGAGTGTAATAACGAAGGTAGTATATTTGGATTTCACCGTCTTAGAAAAATGTTCCAGTCTCCCATTGTACTTTCTCTTCTTTCACCGCGATGTGAACATGTGTAATCTCGTTCCATTGGAGGCTGCATGTTTCCAGTCCAAACTAGCGCTGATTTAGGCAAGAGAAAATAACAGGCTCAGCTGGAGCTGTTTATGTGAACGCTAGAAATAAATACCCAAATATACAACGTCTTTTAACCTTAGACGTCTGATCTGATGGAGAAAGTCGGGTATCACATCCCACTGCTCCCAATGACCCGGTGAAACCTTTTGAAGCAAAGGGCCACTAGAGCGAAAACCGACACGTTTCAGAGAATTTCCACACCCGTGTGTCACTTTGCGACAGACTGATGGTGGGGCGATTGGGGTCAGGCTCCTTTTGTGCTCGGGTAGGGACCGATATGGAAAGGAGGGCAAAACCGGAGATGGGTCGAGCGGACTAACACGACGGTGACCAGAATACGTAAAGGCGCTATTTGTTGGGGTGAAACGATTTGGGTCTGAGAAGGGGATGTATATAGGTGCGGACAGGGAAAAGTTAGCTTTATGGTAGTGAGGTGAGGCGGCTGATGCTTTTTAAGTAGGTAATTATTAAATTTAGTTTTTGAAGTCCGGCACAAATGACGTACCGTAAAGTGGGGCTATTTGAAACGGATTTTACAGTTTTTTGCCTCTCCCTTTAAGACGGCTCATATTTCTTATAGCATGTAAATTGCAAAAATGTAGTTCTCTGTGAGCTCTTTCATATAGGTGTATTTTGGTTCAGCTAGTAACAATGACTGAGGTTATTTTTTATGTTAAAGCCTGTCTCAAATAGCCCCATAGGGTGGGGCTATTTGAGACAGTTTTAGTTGCAAGGAAATTAAAGAAAATCGGTCACGCTAGAGATAATTTTTTAAACGCCATGCATTTGGAAATTGAATTTTGATCATTTTGGCATAAATTGTTTTTTCAAAGACTGTTATATGACTTTTATATTCAATCTTTTCCTTTTTCGTAGGACACTTCATTTCGGTAGGGTATAAAATTGCATCACTATATGCTAAGGCTATCATAATATGGTGTGACCCATAGCTTTCAAACTGACGGGATGATCATCAAGGACCATTTTAAAGTCATCGACAGTAAAATTTTGAAAGTAAGTTTTTGTACATAGCCCCGGTGACGTGAAAACAGATATACCGAAAGTCGGTGGGGCTATTTGAGACAGTCTCGCTACCTTATGAAGCACACTGTAATGAATCAAACAAGGCAAAAGGTTTCCCAAAACATTTGAGTGAATGGTCTGCATGATTGTTTGTTCCATTGTAAAGGGTGTCCCATAAGTTCGTTCTCACCTAAATTTTACGTTTTTAGGCTCTCTTGCTTAAAGGCACGCTGAAATTGGCTCGTAACTGAGCTACGTGGTTGCCATGGCTGGTAGAAATATGCTCCACATTAGCTACTTTCTGTAGACAAAATAGTTTTTGCTATAGAGCCCGCTTCCTACAGAGACGGCTAACGCCGCAACATAGAGGTCTCCGATACGGGTACGTCTCATTATTTAGTCAGCACGTGACCATTCGCGACGATTGAGGGTGATTGAGGCCTACCAGTCTGTAGCCAATGTCCATCGCTAACTGGACGCACAATCAGCAAGTGACGTCGATGATTTGTCGGGAGTAGAGATTGCAATCCCGGAACGTTTTGCCAATCCCGGGATCCCGAAAGTTTTTATTTCGGGATCCCGGGATCCCGGGATCCCGGTCTAGTCACTAAAGGTCGTAAGAATAACTTCCTACTGACATATTTTGCGTCTTTTAGCTTACCACAAACAAAGAGGCAACCAAAAGCCATCCTTAGACCATGTCATTTGCATTAAAAACGATTGAATTTGCGACGGAAACGTTTCGATTTGATTAGCATTTATTCCCAATTGGCCTTTATAAAACTGTGCGTCAACCAGTGCGTTTACTACCTCATCTCGTCATTAAGACGGCCATTCCAGCACATCCACGCCTCACTCACTTTTCGTCTACGCTACTCGTATTTAGCGCGACAGTTTTAAACCATTGCTGGTAGGTCTGTCAATTTTAAAACTCGCGACCAGTGTACGCCAACTTTGGCAGCTCCCTATTTCACAATGTTTTCAAGACGTCGCTTGGTCACTTCACCTCCTTCCGGTTCTACTTTCATCACTAATGTCTCTCAGACTTTGCTCCAAAGTCTCTTTGAGGGCAGAGTCACTGACAGGGAGAGCTCCACTCTACCGTCTTCAACGTTTAAATCAGTGAGCTCTGCCGTCACTTGCGTGACATCTGTGACATCTTTCTGCGACACGAGCCCAAAGACTGTCTTGATGACCTCTCTTGTTCCGGCCACGGACGGGCAAGTCAGAATCGCTGAACGATCCGTGATCCTGATAAAGATGTTGTAGCACCGATGCTGCATTTTTTTTTGTTGTTGTTGTTCGCGTTCGGGACCCTTTTTCGTACACATTTGAGCGGCTTAACCGCTGTGGGTGATACCCGGGAACTACCAACACGGTCGATTGTGGAAGGCCGATACGGGGTGCCAGCTAAATTGTTTCTCTGCTTTATGTCACGCAGCACTATGAACAGTGTAACCAAGACTCGTGCAGCGGCTACATTCTTTTTCAGAAAAACTGATTTTTTTCGGGATCCCGGGATTGGCGGAATTTCGGGATCGGGATCGGGATTAAAATCCCGCCGGGATCCCGGGTTCCCGATCCCGGGATTGCAATCTCTAGTCGGGAGTCAGTCACTGCAAGTTTATCCTCTTTCCAGTCAGCCCTCAGGAGTGAGCCAAGTGGCCAAAACTGTGTGGCGCCAAAGTGGCCATCAAAAGGGTCAAAGGGTTACAAAGTTGGTAAGCAGACTTATCAGGATGGATTACCAGCTGTCTAAGAGTGTTCTTTCGGGGTACATAACTCAAGATGACTTAAGCTTTGCTTAACGGAGGGCACAAAACAGTCAAAAACGTCTTAAAATGGCCAAACATGAGTTTCGTGATGTCTGAGGCTAAACAAAACAGAGGGCTGATGACATCAACCAGGTCATCAGGACTAACTAGTCCACGT